AAGCCATCTCAAATTGGCTGGTTACATGGAATAAAAATGATATGAGCAGCTACAGGGAGCAAAAAACTTTTTTTTCTGCAGAAAAATGTGTGGTTTGAAACAGTCGAAAAGCCACTGATTGCACGCTGTTTGTGCAAGTGTTTATGGGGGGAGGGGGTGGACCCTGTGTGACCTTCACATGAACTCTGGTGGATTTTATTACACCTGTAGTACCATAATAAAGAGGTGCAGAGAGATATGCCTGAAGCAGTAAAATACATTCAGACAAGGGGGCATTTATTCCACTGTTTACCTTTTCTCAAGGTATTTGAATTGTGTTCTCTTACACAGCAATGAGCTTGAACTGTGAGAGTTTCATTTGTTAAAGTTGTTAAGTGGTAAATTAGTAGGGTTTGGGTAATGGTCTGTTTTGCACAGTGGTTCCTAAAGTGGGGGACGTAGCTCCGTATTGGGCAAAAAACATTTTGTTTTTAATGTCTGTTTACTGCATTGTGTCATTAAAAATAAGATTAAGGTACAAAATGTAAAGTTCTTCCACACAAAGCTCTTAACAGCTAGGCCCCAATTATGCTATTTCAGAACTTTAAGACAACTCTGGACTACATTCACCTAAGTGGCTGAAGTCTAGCCAAACCAAGAACATGCTCTGTTGAGCCCTGCAGAGAGGCCAAATGTGTGAAGAAGTGGTGAGATTGGGACTGTGGTTACAACAGGAGGTACTGCGAGAGAATGTATGATCATGTCAGTGCATGTACAGAGTCACTGCTTTGTACCATCTGAGGTGCAGCTGTGTTTGGAGTTGGCTGTTCTGTCTGACGCGGATTTGGTGTTGGACATGAAAGAGCAACTCCTTCCAAGTCAGTGCACACTGTGTTTGTCTGTGTCTCAGATAAAGGCTGTGGAAAGATTTCTCTTTTATGTCTTATAGAGCTGTTCAAATTTGTTCAACCTTTGCAACTAACCTTTTTTTTCACAGAAAACAAAGGTGATTTCTTCAGTCCTCTGATTTGCATGGCGAGACAATTATTAGTCTGTATGTACGGTGGATCATCTTTCAACAAGAAAGTCCAGGATTTATTCCTGGCTACTGTAGGGCCACATACCAATGGGTTCCTTGGGAATACTCCTCTTTGTCTCCTGATTAGGGTTGGATGAACTACAGCACATTTTCTATTGTTATGTTTAATGTGTACTTAATAATAGACTTATTGTACCATATTGTATGTATGTAAATAACAGCAAGTGATTTATTGTAAGCAGAGCATGCTGTTTTATTTGTAAACTTGTCAGGCTTTTGATATCAGCATGTATCATATGTGGTATCAGTATTAAATAGAATAACTTAAAAATGTCTATTGTTTAAAATATTGTTTAAATCAAAAATTGACTAATGAATCATTCGTTAACATTGTTGATCACAGATCAGTGTCGACTAAGACAAATATCACATCAGTAAAAACACACACAGGGCTCCACAACATCCACAACACATTAAGCCTTTTTCCAAGCTACAAACGGATCTTAAAGCAGTCTCTCTTTGTTCTTCAACCAATAGGAGGGCTCACATAGTCTTTGATTCAATCCTGAAGAACTTTGATGAGAGAAGCAGTCTGAGCTCAACGCCAGCCCAGGTCACACCTCACTGCATGAGAGAAGCAGTCTGAGCTCTACGCCAGCCCAGGTCACACCTCACTGCAGAATCAACAAATGCCAGCCTGTCAGCCTGAGCTCCACATGCACCAATGTGCCTGAGGAGGAGGCACATTGTCCCCTAAGCCAGTATGGCCCCTTCCCTGGGGCTATATTTCAACAATGCAATGTTTACTGAACCCAGTCTTGGAGCAGTTAAGTGAGTGAGTATGAAGGGAGGCAGACTTTCCCCACAGTTCAAACTGAGGAGTGAAGCTGATGTTTGCACTGCTAAGCCTTACACTTCCATTCAGTCTCCATTGACTTTGAATGGAGGTTAATAATCATAATTAATTAGATCGCTTATTGACCCCACAATGGGAAAATTAACAGAAACACAGTGGAGAAATTTACAGTTGGCATTTGGAAGGTCAGCCCAGAGCTCAGCAGTTTGTCAATGGCTAGCAACTGAGAATTAAATAAATGCAATACACACAGGGAAGAGTGAGAACAGTGTACACGAAGGACATATGCTCTGTAGACTACATGGTTATAGGAATCCAGGGCAGCCCTTCCCCCAACTCCTGTTCAACCCCCAACGAAGTGAAGGGACTATACTGAGAGGGATCTCTGTTCCAAAAGTATCTGCAGTACTATCTAATGGTGGATCTGATGTCATACACTTCAAAAACAAAGTGGCTGGAGGGCACAGCTAAAAACCTCTGAGACAGATGTTATGATTCTAAAAGGTGTCTGATGTTAATAACCAATGCATGTGAAGAAACGTCTGTCAGGTGTCTCCAACTTTGACGCCTTGTGTTACATTTATTTGTTCAGTTTTCTTAACCATAGGAAAAAAAAACAGTTTTTAATCCAGAGCAACTATCAGATGTTTAACCAAACTAAAATATTAACCTTTCAAAATTATTACGACTTTTCAACAGGTTTTGACTTCGCTTCAACTGATGTTTTCTTTTCCCCAAATTAAAAAAGAGATACAGTTTCAGTTTATACATAAAGTATTTTGATTTGAATATATATAAAATGGTCTTAAACTTGAACCTCTGATGGACGACAGCAGGGTCTGGACTTGTGAAAAGGAAGCAAAATTATAAAGGAATGTCTATTGATTTCCATTGTCAGGGTTGATACACATGACCCTGGCATTCCAGTGGGGATAACAGCAGAGCTGGTAGTTACACTGCTACATGTGTTCAATTGAATCAGGAGACAGTGCTCCTGCTGTGGTTCAAAGCCATAATGAGAGAAACAGATGCTTGTGGTTCCACACATAATTCAATTACTGCAGGTTGGTGGTGTTTGTCTTGCAGTCAAGCAGTGCAGTGGTCAAAGTGTCGAAGTCATCACCCACTTCCTTCCACTGTCAGTACACAACAATTGACAATAGGCCTCTTATAACACAGAGGAAGTCCTCAGTTTGCATTAATGAAATGATTTAAATAAACCTTAAGGTTAAAAGAACATTAGAGTTTAACTGCAACATCACGCTCACCCTCTGTATCCTCTTTCTGGCTGGTGAAAGATTTACGTAAAGCGACCACCTCCTCCGGTTTGTCCCATCATTCAGCATGAAACGGCTTCAGATCAAATCAACGCACAGCAGTCACAAATAGACCGTCTCAAGCCTGACATGTCTGTTTAATGGCGGACATAAAGGAGTCAGAGCAGACAGGACGACTACAGAGAGGGAGAAGCTGTAGAGGGCTCTATTCCCAGCAGTGGCGTCATGGTCATCAGCATCAAGTGCAATTCATTGCACATGTACAGCAACATAACGACAACTTGTCTGAGACTCTTACATCATTTAATATGTTTAAATACCCAGTGGTGCATTGGCTGGTGACATGAACGTCAGTTCAACCTCATCATTATAGCATGTTATTTACAATGATAGTTGTAGCCTCTTGGATTTTAGATAATACACGTTACATATGGATGGGATAACAGGCTGCAATTTAAAAGACAAAAACATTTTTATGTTTATACACCAAATTCTTTATGTTAAAAAGATCAATTTGTTCCGTTTTATTGGTAATGGGCGGAAAGATGACTTAATAAAACGTGATGATGTGACTTCCTTGAAATTCCATGTGAACTTAATGTTGTAACCATTGACTGTAACTCTGAAGAGTTCCTGGTTTTCTGGGACAAAATAAATGAGAGTAAAGAAGTCTCCCGGAATGTCCTCCATGTGTGACACCAAGAAACACTGAGTTCATTAGATAAGGTGAAGTTTTCAACAAAGAGGTTACCAAACACTGACAGTGTGAGTCGACGTGAAGCCTTGGTTAGCTTTGTGAGAGATGAGGACTCCTGGCAGACTATGAATAGCTTGTTTCTGTGGATAAACTTAGCCCGACTTCCCTCATCAGGAGCTGCTAGTTCGTCATATAACTTTTAAAAGCATCCTTTACAGCCCTTGTTGCTGATATATGACTGTGGTTACTGGAATCTGTTACACTGCCCACCTGCAAGTATTCAGGAGCCCTGCTCCAGCAGACAGCACTGTTTTCCCACCATGAACAGCAACATCAGCAGACACTATCATCATATATGTGCCTTTAACTATGCGCAGTGATTCTCAAATGGAGGTACATGTCCTCCCAGGGGTACTTAAAAGGCACTCCAGTGGGTAGGCAATATTTCATTTTAAAGCAGCTAAAGTGGTGCAGTGGTAGGACCCCTACAGGAAGGCTACGGGTTTGATACCACCTAGACCCCAAATCCTAGTTTGGTTTGAGTCAGAAATGCAGTGTAAAAACTCTGCCAAATACAAATGATCCACTGTACAGAGGATGTAAAGTCTGTCAACTCACTGTGTATGAAGCTGAGAGAGTGTGCATCTGACCATATGAACAGCATCCTGGTTTTGATTAGTATACCAGTCAGTTTTATTAGTAGGCAGGGGATTATCTGTTTTCTCCCCAAACTTAATACTTTATAGCCTAGAAGCGTCATGGCAAGAGTGGTGCTGCCCAAAACACACACCTTTATGAAAAATTACAAAGTCTTGTCTAATACAGATAATATATCACGACAGTCTTGCTCAGTGTAACAGTGATTTTATCTTCCTCACAGGCGGGGTAATAGATTGTAAAAAGCAGTTTAACCGGTGTCATTTGCCGCACATATATTAATCACACCTAAACGTGGTGCTTACTTTTCACAACAGGCAAGAAAAATCTCTTATTTATTGATTTTATTTTATATTTGTATGGGCAAAATGAGATGTCTGCAGGGGGGGGTAAATCACTGAAAAGGGATGAGAAGCGCTGCCCCAGGGGACACGGACAGAAGACTGGTGAGTTAAATTAAAAAAAGTTTAAAGTCAAAGTTCGGAGGTTACTTACAGTCAGCAGCTGGCATGTGAGTAACAAAGTCAGGATAAGTCCACAGGTCGCAGCGGTCGAGGTGCCCATTTTTCCACCGACCCAGCACAGGCTGCAAATGCTGGGTAAAAAGGGAGAAAAAAAGCGAGGTCCCTTCACTCCTCCTGCCCACTGGAGCGGTGTGTTGTCTGCACCTTTTACAGGCTTTTCTTCCCGGTGAAGTGAACCGACTGCTCCTTTGCGTCCTGCAGCCGTCGGGACTTCATCAACAGGTGTAGTAAACGATCCCTTTGCACGGTTTCACTATTGTTTGTGGAGACTATGCACTCTTTTCTGTTCCAACCGTGCGCTCCGAAACTTATTGAGACTTGGTTGTGGACTGAATGCAGCCTTGCAAAGTCACTGGGAAGTCCTGAAAGAGAGAGAGCGAGTGGGAGAGAGGGAGGGAGGGAGAGAGAGAGAGAGAGAGAGAGAGCTGCGAGGAAAAAAGGGAAAGGCGGAGTGGAATTCAGGGAGTGCTGAAAGCCAAGACAGTTAATCCCAGTGTGGGTAGACACCACCTAAAGTAGACCCTGTCTTCATGACCACTCTGCTTACACGTGTCCACTAGGAACAGTATCGAGCCGAGTCCGAAGGCAATTACCTTCATAGCATTTACAGTTATATTCCAACAACAGAGACTTTTAATGCCACTTTACATCCATACATACAAACATACATTCATACATGCATATGCACATATATATATACATTCACACACACAATTATTATGAGCATAAATGTTTGTAGCACACATTTTACAATTGCGAGGTTACTGACTACTTACGTACGAGATGCTTTCATTAGCATTAGCCTAAAACGGAAATATAAAATTAGCCAGGGGATATGCTAGCTTCAGCTACAATAAGACAAAACAGAAAAAGAGAAGAGAGTTCAGATTTAGTCAAAAAGTAAAAAAATATCTTACGTTATTAAAACAAATTGGATTAATTGGATAAAAACGTCTGTTAAACTGTTAAACACATAATTGTAACAGCTAGAGTTGCCAAAACGGCCACCAAAATTAGCACAAGCTAATTAGATAAGAAAACCAGCGATAATACGTGTAAAGCACACGTACGGAGCCATAAACTCAGCTACAGTTGTACTAAATAGGAGACAGCTGAAGTTATATTAACACAATGTAAAATACTTTACGGTTACAAAACGAAATGTTTAAAATGTTCATTTATATGTTTTGTCATTGGCCGGGTAAGAAACCAACTCTACCTCTGTCTGTAGTCATGAACTCCTCTTGCCCTCAGGGCACACTTTTTAAAGACTCCCTGAAACTTGAACCTGTCACTTTAATTACTTGACTGAGCAGCTTAGCGTAAAGAAACATACGATTATACTATATGTTCATACGTCTTATTCGCTACAAGATTAAATATAAATATATAGGTTGAAATTTAAACTGTTGTATTGTCGTGGACGTCGTGTTGTAAAAGAGGTATTACAACATATCCATGAACATTCACTGCCCTCTATTGGTAAAAGTGGAGGCATTACACAAAAGAATGACATGCCATTTCAGGCCCAGTTTTTTAGCCCAGTCTAAATGAGGCAACAACAACTAAGTCAAATACTTTCAAGACAGATGCTATGACATCAGACGACGTGATTTCTATCACAAAAACATACTTAATAGCTATTTTACGTTCAAACTGATCTGATTTTCAAATCAAAAGCTAAGACAACTAATATAAAACCTAAGAATTGTTTTGGGAAACCTGACTACTAACTTAGACTGTCTGATTTCTGTCCAGGTGTTGTAACCTGGTGTTGGAGCAGGATTTCTCAGATGGGCCTTCAGTGGATGATAGAGAGAGATATGGCTTTGTTATCTTTATAAACAAAGATATATTTTTATATTTTTTTATCAATTTGACTTAGGACTTTGACTGGAAAATCTAGGAGGTCAAGATTCGGAGGTCATTTTTGACAGGTCACAATTAACAGCAAAGATTGTGTCTGCTTAGACTGTACAATCAACAGAAGTCAGTGTGCTGAAACCAGACAAGAATAACTGTCCAGACTCCTCTCTCTCTCTCTCTCTGTGTGTGTGTGTGTGTAAAGAGCAATCACAGCTGTTGCCAATTAAAAGCCAAACCCTGAATAGAAATGGAAAGGAGCAGCTCTTATTTGCTCACCAAAATAGGCTAAAAGGGAGATGAACAGAGTTGAAGAGACTCATCAGCTGGTTGGTATGCTCTCAGTGCAACAGTTGGAATGCCTGCAGTCTCTTACAGTTAACTACAAAAGCTACGCTAACAACAACACACATTTACTATTTTTATTGCACCATAGACTGCATTTTTTCTGGATAATATAACGGACATTGTCCAAAGTCTTTGTGGACTCGGTTGGACCGGGACCAGAATGTATTGACTGGGTGGAGCTGGAATTCTTGGTGGGGTAGAAGAGTGAGGAAACAGCTTCCTTGTGTTAAACTGAGCGTAAATATCACTGTCAAAAGTAAACAACAAATTTTGCAGGGACATTATTCACAAACATCGTATACTTATGTGTATTTTGAGTTAAGAAAATCATCCTGAAAAACTATCATTTATAGGGGGTCACAACCTGTGGCTCATGGGCCACATGAGGCTCCATAGCCCCGTGAGATTTCTAGTCATGTTTTTATGAATGGACCATATAAATGGATGCTGCAAATACTATAACACAAGTGAATGACTCTACTGCTGTGAGAAAAGGAATTTTATTGACTGTTGTTGAACATACATTTTTGTCTGTTTTGTTTTCATACAATTGATGTAACACATTTTTGGTTGATTCTTGCAAATCAAAAACTCAAATAATTACACATACAATAGTACTGCAGATTGCTTAAGCATACCTTTGATGGCTTATGAATAAAAATATTAATATTTGTGGTAGCTGAGCCTTTTTTTCTATTTGGAGACTCTGACCTTAAAAGGCTACAGTTAAGGATTAATACACAAGTCCAGCCAATTTTCACTGAGGCTAACATTTATTTCTGAGCTTCTATGGTGACTGGAAAGTCGAGTGACTCACTAAGGCAAGCTTTGTGAGTTACATCAGTGTATCTGCTCCGTTTGCTGCATGTTGTCAAATAGAGCTGCACTTTGCAGCTGTGCAAAACAGCTGCAAATGAGGGGGGATGAAGACATTCTTAAATTTGCAATGGGGACGTTAGGAATGAACAGATAAGAACACAATGGGAATTTATTTCCTTATTTGTTCATTCATAGCAAAACTCTGCTGAGGTCTGAATCTAAGATTTAATAAGTTAGTTCGTGACAGCTCCCTATTCTAATATTAATATAAATATATATATTAGATAAATTAGATAGAGATAATATATTAGAAAAATATGAAAAAAACACACCAGTGACCCCTATAGGCACAATTACTGAACTGCAGTAGCTTGCTGATTGTGACTACAGTATATAAAATTATATATAATATAGATATTATATATAAATATATTTATGTAAATTTGTAATAAACATAATAATTGCTTTACACCAGAAGTGTTAAAGTTTATTTTAAATGATGAAAATATTTCATTTGTGGCTCCAACGTTAGATTTATTTTCTTTATATTTTTCCTGAAAAATTAAATATGTGTGAGAAAATGTATCAAGAAAGTATATTAAAATTATATGCAGGGTCTCCATACATAAAATTGTAAATTTGTAGTAAATACACTTTTTAAACTCTTTTTTTTTTGTACTCTACAAAACCTACTTTGTAGCACCACCTGCTGTTTAGCGTGTGCTGCAAGAAACGTTTCAGTTCTTTCAAACCTTTGTAGCACCACCTGCTGTTTAGCGTACGCAACTGCATGTGCCGTGTTTACCAAGTCCAGCCCTTAACTCGCTGTTAACTGTGCTAACTGTAAAGATGATTTCTTCAGTAATGTTTGACTTTTGGGAGGACGCATAACATTTCAAACAGGAGGTTGGCACCAGTCAGTGCAGTGTTCCCTGTCGAAGAAAGTACAAGTCACTGAGTGTGACTACTGTACCTTTTATACAGCAATTATACATTAAAAAGTCAAAGTTTACCTGTGGTATCATAGGGTGGAGACACTTCCACCACATCACATCCGACCAGGTTCAGACCATGACAGCCTCGGATAATCTCTAATCCCTGAATCAGGGGCAAATACAAGTATGTCGACTGTACTGTCAATAAATACTTCTAAGTTAAACAATATATATGTGTGTATACAGTATATATAGGTATAGATATATAATATAAATATATATTTTATATATGTACATATATATGCATGTTTCTACAGTATATATACATATAAATACATATATAAACATGTACAGTATATATTTATATCTGTATGTGTACATATATATGTATAATGCGTATATAGTATACATACATATATCACACATTACCTGAATGGGGGTAAGGCCTGCTATCTCTGGTGTGCCAGTCCCCGGGGCAAAGCCTGGGTCCAGAGCATCGATGTCAAAACTGAGGTACACTGGCCCGTTGCCCAATTGAGTTCTGACCTCAGCCATCAGGGGCGCCAGGGATTTGAACCAACAGTCTTCTGCTTGGACCACACGGAAACCCTGTACAATATTTTTTTCTGCTGTTTATTAACACTGTAGAACTAAATGTGCAGGCAGACAAAAATAAACACATCAGTTCATGCAGTTAAGTATCTCAGCAGAGTACCTGGGCCCGGTTCCATTCATATGCATCTGCAGAGTAACCCGAGCCCCGCAGGCCGATCTGGACCACTCTCTTACAGTCCAGAAGACCGTCCTCCACACAACGTCTGAATGGAGTCCCATGTCCAATCTTCTCACCCAAGACGACATCACTGGTGTCAGCATGAGCATCCACATGGACCAAACCCACTGGTCCATACCTGGTAAATGATCACGATTACTGTGTGAGGTGAACCATTCCATCAGTCAATCAGTAACTCATTTGACAAAACAGTACTTCAGCTAAAACACTTACTTCTCAGCCACAGCTTGCAGGATTGGATATGAAATTGTGTGATCGCCACCTGCAGACATCAACAGGTAATGTACCATCCAACCTTTGATACCACTTTCATACTTTATGACAGTTGAGATGATTACCCCCCCCCATGGTCAGAGGAATGCAGCCTGTAGCCACGATCTTCCTGTAGGCCTCTGTGATCCGTTTGCAGGTGTCCTTCAGGTCGTACAGATTTACATTGACGTCCCCGATGTCAGCGACCATAAGGGACTCATAAGGTGCTGCCCTGGTGCCACTGTTGTAAGCTCTCAACATGGCGGACTCCACTCTCATCTGACGTGGACCGAACCTGTGGTGAAGACATGGTTTTATACTTTATTTCAGTGTAGCCTTATTTGAAGTATGTTTTGAAATTGGAACAGCAGTGAAAGGAAAACAATGCTCTTATATGAGTTCAAATTCTATTTATGTGATAAAGAAAGCGTGCAATAGAAACATGTCTAATATTATTTTTAATTATTTGTTTTAATGAAAATTTAGTTAGAAAAGTTTCCTTTACAACTTAGCAGAAAGTGAACATGTGTTTTTTTTTCCCCAAAGAAATTGTGATTTGCATTCAATAGTAAACGTTGCAAAATCCCAAAGAAGGCATGCCATGCCTCAAATAACTTTTAAAACTCTTAACTAGTAGAATTGCATTTTTTTTTTTTTTGGCATTGTTAGAAGTTACTACACTTTTCTGTAAATTACCATAAAATATCAGTTTATTCCATAGTTGGTCACATACTGTAATTATTTAATTAATGGCTGATATTACGATGAATATTGTATTATATTAAGGTATTATAACTGCTACCGTTATTATTATAATTAGTGTATAATAAAAACAATATATTGTCATTTTTATTACCTAATGTTTGTCAAAGGCCTAGGGCGATAGTCAGCCACTAGGATTAGGCTGAATAAAAATAGCATTCAAATGCTGTCTTGAAGGGTAACATTTTGAATTTCAAGTAAATAGTGCCATAATATCTCTGTTACAAAACACCTGGCACCGGGTCGGTTGGAAGTCCCGGTATCGATGGGCACACCGACAAACGCCGCGTCCAGACCGTCCGTGCTCTCCTGGAACGGGAGCTTGGCCATGGTGGGGATCCCCGACACGCGGGCAACGAACTCTGCGCTGGGCGGCACATTGAAGCGTTTCTCCGAATACTTTCTGCTGAAATTGACAGAGAAAACCGAAGTCTCTCTGTCGTGAACCAAAGCCTGTCGTAGCTGCAGGGAAGACAATTTCGCTCCTGCGCAAAAAGGAGAAAAAGCAGCCGTTGACCTGGTCAGATTTCTCCACAGTGAACTCATGGTTGCGTAATTGTATCTCCCAGCAGGAGAGAGGGTTTTATATACGCCATATTCGTCCCTCCCCTAAAAAATATATCAGCCTATTCACACCGTTAGCGTGACATACTGTATAAAATTATAAGAAAAAATTAATGAGTTTATTAACAGTAGCGTGAATGAACTTCGAAGTGGTTCAATTTAGAACATGTTATAACTCACACCGTTGTAATTGTCATTAGTCCAGAACAGTTTCTCAAACTACTGTACACATGCAATTGGCGGTAGTCGTATGCCCTCTAGTGTTACACAGACGAAGTAGTGCCTCACTTATCTGTGTATGTTTATTTATTTATTTTAACAGTATGGCTTTGGCTGAAAAAATTCACACAGTATATTAGTCTATCACAGTGATAAAGTAGGAGACAAACTCAGAAGTCTATCGCAGTGATAAAGTAGGAGACAAACTCAGAATATGGCTGCCGCTGTGGTGAAAATAAATCGAGTGTCTTTATTTATTTTTTCATCTGGGTTTAGTTTCAGCATCAAATGAAGGAGCAAATACTTTTACACAAATACCATTCTACTCTTCAACACAAAAGGTCATGAGACATTCAGATCAAACTGTTGTTTCTTCTGTCCAAATAAAGTCAACCTGATTACGATTTCGTATTTAAAATATGATGCAGCAACAAAGAACAACAAACACCGGCACACTCGACCGAGCTGAGCGGGAGCTAACATGAACGTAAAGTGCATAAAACTAGGCTGTGTCACCACATCTGTGCTGATACATGTGTTTATATTAGGCATTGTAATTGTCATTACAATTAGCAACAGAGGGACAAAAATGATTGGCTAGACTCAACGCTGCACAGAAAAGATAGAACCTCAATACAGCTAAATGTACATGTAGGTTTACTTTATAAACTAAAAGTGTTTTTGTAAATATTTGAAAACGTACCCCCCACCCCCTCTATCGCAGTAAAGTCTCAACATGTGCAGCGCCCCCTTACCACCACCTCCATCGCAGTAAAGTCTCAACATGTGCAGCATTACTATCATTTTAATTTAAAACATCTGCATTCACATTCACTGCCTTCCCTGAAAAAGTGCATCGAAGCTTCTGTCAACTCTCTGACCTTTCGCTCTGATCTATACAGACAGAACGTGGGCAGGACGCTGCCCCCACCCATACAGCAGGAAGCCCATGGCAGAGCGCAGGTCCTCCAGATCCAGGTTAGACAGGAAGCTCCTCTGGAGCTCCACCTCCACGCTGTTGCCGCTGGGGCCCCTGCAGCCCTTCAGGAGCACACCAGCGGACTGACAGAGCAGCCAATCAGCCAGCTTCTTCATGCCCGTGCTGTCACGATTGGCCAGCGCCTTCCCGCCCCAGATGCTGAGATGTAGCATATCGGCGGCGACGCGGGCACTGGGTCGCTGCGGGGCAGGAAAACTTTAGTGAGTGCTGTGGTGTCAGAAACTTTTGGTTGTCCAGACAACTCTCCCACAATATCACAGAGATGCACTCGGCTCGCTCAGGTTACATGCAGCTGGTTTTGGTGGATGCACTCGGCTCACTCAGGTTACATGCAGCTGGTTTTGGTGACCTTGTTTGTCAAAACCTAGAGCGAGGTGTCTTATGGTTTGGTGTCCCTAAATACGACAGTGCTGCGTACACGGTGACTACATCATGATGCTGTTAGTGTAAACTAATCCATCATTACATCTTAGATTACACTCTGTAGGAAATGTAATGTTTGTATTACAGTTAAAACTGTTCTTCAATGACTGGTGATATTTCTTAATGACCCAGAACAGTAGCAATGTTTGAAAAAAATAAATACTAGCAGATCACTTATTTCCAGTAAAAATTTGTACACACCTAAAATGCAATAAAAACCAGAATCTGCAATTTGGTACTTTTATACATTTATTCATCTGACAAGGTGACTTCTGGTGTTTTCACTGACAAACTCAACTTAAATGAACCTATTGGACCACTGATACTAACCACCTACCTTGCTAGGGTTCCTCCTGAGCAGTAATCTGATCACCAGCTGCACGTCCGCGGGCGGCAGGGTAGGAAGGTGCCTCTCTTCGTACTTCCTGCTCTCCAGGCCCACTCCTCTGTAAAATGGGTTCAGCTTCCCGAAAATCTCATAGGAGATGGCACCCACTGCCCAGGCGTCGGCTTTGCTGTAGTCAATGACCGCGCCACACCCTGGAACTGCCGTGGCAACCTGTGGGTCAAAACAAACAAGAGCTCCGTTACAACACTTTCATTAGGCAAACCCTAAGGTGAATAACTGAGAGGTGCAGTACGTGGATCTACCTCTGGGGCCATAAGTGAAGCATTGCCACCTTTGCTGACCCACGCACTGTTAAATGGAAGCTCTAGACTGGCGTTGCGCTGAGCCAGGCAGCAACCAAAGTCGGTGATCACCAAACGAGGACAACCATCTACACAAAGACAAATCTGGCTGGGATTTTGGACAGAAATAACTGATCTGGTGTTGTCTGTTGTCTCTGATCTTTAATTTACCCGAGTCAAACTCCATCAGCACGTTGTCTGATTTGAGATCTCTGTGGGCGACACCTTGTTTGCACAGATGGTCAACTCCCTCCAGCAGCTGCAGCAACATCAGAGATCCTTGCCTACGCCCCGGTGTGGACGCTTCCAGGTACTGCCGCAGTGTGCAAGGATAACTACGAGAAGAACAGTCAAAATGTTTTATATTATCAATCTATTATTTAAAATTTACAAGTTAATCAGTAAGTGAGTTATCTATGGCCTGGTTTCAAGTGTCCACAGCTGCTCAGAGCAGGGGTTCCAAAACCCTGCTCTGGGGACCAACACATTTTCTGAGTTTTTTTTCTTTCACCTGTAAGCCCTCAAATTAACTTGTTTAAGAACAAATATATATATAATGAACTTTATTGGACTGATTAATGCATGATCTTACTTCTTCATGACCAGGAAAAGCGTGCGGTTGTTGCCCAGACCAGCAGGGTTAAGCCTGGCCGGCAGCACGTCTGGATACTCATCCTGGGCACCCGGCAGCAGAGGAACATCTGCGGTGAACGCACGGTAAACTCTGATCACATTGGGATGAGCTGACACTCTCTTGGGCAGGACTCCAAATTGACTGGATTTAAAACACAACAGACAGTGGTGAACATCTATTCATTATAGTGAAGCTTTTAAAACAGTGAGTGAAATATATACTCACCCATCATGGACAATGTGTTCTTTTTCTAGCTCCACAGCCAGAGGGCCTGCTGGCACAAGTTCATGTGACATGGATTTTAATATTTCCTCGCTTGACGAGCCTGCCTGTTACACGAAAAAAACAAATAAACAAAGTTTAACCAACTTTTTTCAACTGAAAAGTTGTTACAAAAAAACAAAAACAAATGAAACCTACCCCAAAGTTCCACAGGGAAAAGTTATTACAAAAAAAAAAAAAAAAATACAAAATGAAACCTACCCCAAAGTTCCACAGCATCTTGATAGCCAGAGGAAAGTTTCTCAGTGAGCAACACATCACAGACCGAGTTCTCTCTCCTTCCCCTTCATCCTCTCTCAGCTGCACCAGGGAGCAATTACTGTCTTTGTCCTTCAGAGTGGAACACTGAGGTGCAGCCTCGTACACTACAGCATTGGAGCCTTTCCCAATCTGGTTTCCAATAATGTAATCTTCCAGTTTATATCCAGAGGGAAATGGTTTCATTGTGCTTTGGAATCTTTTCCTTCTAAACACAGCCTGAGAATGACAATACAATGCGTTTTTAATATGCAAATAAAACATTACAAGACTTAGATTTAAAGATCTTATGTTTGGAAACTTGGTTTGGGAAATTTAACTAAAAGCTAATCTACATTGAATTAATAATAAAAAAAGCTATATTAACGAAAGCAATAACTAATAAACATCCGAACCTTTTTTTACAAGACAAAATTCACAAGAAAACAGTTTTATAACTTTGTAATTCATTTGAAGGAGATGTGTAATATAAAAATGACAGTATGACCTAAAAGCAATATTAGAAAACTTGTTTTACCCAAAACAAATATGGCAACTCTTTCAAAACAAGAGCACAACTTCCGGTCTACTTCCTGGGATTTATTGACGTCTGCGTCACAGATTTTAGTTTTATAGTTATTGTGATACTTATGGCATTATAAAGGATCCAAAAGCCTATACCTGGATTTCCTGACATGTCGCAGCACTCTTTCTGTCATCCTCCAGCTGTTCTTCGATAAACCCTACACCAAGCCCGAAAGCCAGGCACAGCACTCTGTTCCGCGGGGATCCACCAGTCAGCCTCCTCCTGAAGGAGGCGGACTGGAGCTGGGCTGCCAGGCCTCGCAGAGAGGTACGGTAGTAGCGGTACCGGGACGGCAAAAAAGCCTGAGGTTGAGCAGTACGGACCGAATGGCCTACGCGTAAACGGTCAGCTCGGAGCTTTGCTGCGACCCGGCCACCGATCTTAAGGAGACCCATCTGCAAGAACGAGCGGCCATACTCCAGCCCCCGGCCGATGGCGTGTCTCACCGACATTATTTACCCGTAGAGGTAAATTTATCGTGTTTTTTGAGCCAGCAGCGCTTCAACTGTCACTCGTCGCGCAATGACGTAAACACAACAACTGCTGTTTGGACATGCGCAGAGAAGTCAGAAGGCCAGGCTTCTTTTCTGGTTTATATATGGTATGATAGGAACTTTGCGCCCCCGCTGGTATGAATCTGCTACGACAGGTAGTATTTGGTGAGAATGTGCATGGTTTTGAAAAACGTTTGATCTTAATTCCTTTAATCTTTGTATGCTTGACTGATCACAAGAAGAAAACAAGTATTGAAGAAGATAAATATCATTCAGAAATTTCAACTAAAAGGATTTTTCTTTCCTATCAACATTTCTATGACAATAGTAAAGTGGGAGAAGATGAACGTATGAAAGAAATTACTCACAAAAAAAGTATGCACAGTAAATAATATCAAGAAATATCATTATGGTGAAAAACAACAAGAACAACAAAATATGATAATCCCCAGTCCCTGTGTCTACCAAGGAGTGGGTACTTTACATTAATTACAATAATATTTAAATCCATTATTTGTCCCACAGTGGGGAGTTTTACACTGTAAGTTCTTGCAACAAACACAGCTGCCACAGGAGACACCAGTGGGAATTTTTGGTTCCTCTGGGAATTGAACCCAGGACTCTCTGACCTCTACTTTCAAAGGAGGTGTGCTAACTGCTACACTACTGAACCATACTGGGAAACTTGGGCGTAGCTACCTTGACTTCACTGTGTTTCCTTAAAATGGTTCAGCTTTCACAGAAGAGATCACACAGGTATTTAAAAGAAAAATCCAGGTATTTCATAGTGTGGGCTGAGAACATGATAACAGTTGTTTTGCAAAACAATACAGGTGGTTCAGGCCAGGTTTCAACTGAGCCAAGGTGTATGTTATTATGGTCGCCTGAGAAACACAGCCTCTTTTTTAGTTTCACGTACGATCAGTTAAGAAAGTTATTTTTGAAAGGGCAGCTTATCTGACAAATCATTCAACCATTGTACTCCTGTATTTCTCTCTGTTAAGTTCAACACAAGGCTAAACTTTTGACTCACCCTAAAAAACACAATCCAAATATAAAAAAGTGGCGTTTAGTTTCTATTTATTTATTTATTTATTTTTTGGCACAAGCTCAGAGCTAGTCAGCTAGCGTAATATATAGCTGCTTTCGCACACATGTATGTGCAATTGTATAACATGTCAATATACCTAAAGAAAAACATTAAACGTGTGAGTGATGTATTTATTTGTCCCGTCATGGCTTTTACTGTCACTTTTCTGGGCCTTCACTATTTGCTACAGGCAGCTGTGCCGTTTCTTACAAACCATCTATGAATCTGGGGGAACAAATGCTAATGGATGTTTACAGTATTTGAACGTGTTTGAGACATGTGCTCCTGACACAGCTTGAGATAATAACAATTTTATTGGCTCTTTTTTCTTGTAAATGTAAAAAGATTGTTCAAAACATATACAGATATATATAACTTACAGTGCAAAAGAAACAATTTTTCTTGACCTGCGCTTAATTTCTTCACGTTGAGCTTTAAGTAGCGGTGAGAAAGTTTCAGCCATGTTCACTAACCACTTCTATGTGATGAGCTTCTTCATATTGCACTTGTTAGTGAGTGTTATATTCTATTTATTGACTATATTTACAACATATAGCAAGTAATCAAATGTTAAATTAAAGTTGTTTTTGAGTGAAAATTCTTTTAAAAGTTGTTGATGATGACAAAGAAAACACTGAAAAACAGGGCAGTGTGATAATTCTCTATTGTTGCTTATAACCAGTTTGGTCATCTGTAAACAGTGTAGCTTTACTATACAGGAACTGATTCTTGTACCGCTAGAAAAAATTACAAAAGGCAAACGTTTATTACTGCATCTCATGTCAGAGCAGTGGATGTAAAATGACTCACCACATTATTGGCCCATCAACATATATGTAAGAAACCAAATGTCAAAGAAATGATTGTTTACCCTGAATTTGTTAAGCTTACCCCAAAGATATAACCCTAATATACCAAGTGTGATAAGTTGACTTTGGCAAAATTAAAAAGAAAGAAAGAAAAAAGGCAGTAATCACAAATGTTATTCCGAGTACTGAATTATTCATCAGATCAACAATCAAATCTGCAACAGTTTCATCCAGGATGGTGGCAAACTCCTTCTAGTATTGGGTAACTATGAAATTGATCCAGTCGACGTAGTTGCTCACTTTGGTGTAAACCCCAGGGTACCTTGGGTTTGCACAGCTGATACCCCAGGAGACGATGCCCATCAATTTGCCATTGCAGATTAGGGGGCCACCAGAGTCACCCTGTGGATGGTCGAGAAGATTACATGTAATAAGGAATGTGTTTAATGCATTTTTTCCTCCTATGTACTTAGGTCATAGTATTCCACATTATGTGGTTTAGCTGTGCTAAAAATTAACAAAGCTACTTTTCTTGACCCCTTTTGATGGCCTAGCCCTTTTGATGGCAGTCTCGCAAGGTTTTAATCAATACAAATATATTAAAAGTAATATCTGCTGCTACAGTTGCTGAATATGAATGAGTTCATGTATGTACCTGACAGGAGTCCTTTCCACCGTATGGAGATCCTGCACATATCATGTTTTCAGAGATCATGCCCCAGTAGTAGTATTGGCAGTATGGTATAATACTGACATCCACAGCACGTAGCACAGGGGACAGGTAGTAGTCGAAGATACTTGTCACCCCCCAGCCGCTCACTGTACAGACACTGTACGGGGCGAGGTATTCTGATGGAGTTGGCAGTTGGGCGAGATCTACATATTCATTCAGTATTGCTGGTCTATCCAGCTGCAACAAAAACAAGAGATGGATATTTGTCTCTCCAAGTACCATCAGTACGACTAAACTAAAATACAAAAATACTACAACCAGCATCTATTTTCAATGTCGAAACCACACACACACACAATACAACAAGGTGAGACTATATAACGCTTATCATTAGCAGGTGACTACTAAACTCCATGAGTTAATTCATATACTGTATAACGCTTATCATTAGCAGGTAAGTGACTACTAAACTCCATGAGTTAATTCCCCCGAATGCCACTAGAGGGAGCCAAAGTAAAACTAATTGATAGATTGCGTCAAAATAACTTTATATTCGACTTAAATGTGTAGTAAGGACTTTGTACTTCTTTTTCCACTCGAATGTGTAGTAAGGACTTTGTACTTCTTTTAAGAATTATTGTCAAGTAAAATAATTTAACCCTCTTGGCATTTTTATTCCCTCATACATATGAATTGATTACATTAAAATGTATTTATCTTTATTGTAGTTATATGTTCCGGAAATATATGTATGTATGTAGTGAGTGTGCTAATTTTAATTAAATATGTGTGTTTTTTGTCGCTAATTTCTCCTCTTACCTTCAGAAGCATGATGTCGTCGTCAAATGTGGCATAGTTAAACCCGGCTTTCATAGTCCTTATGACGGAGAAGGTTTGTTCAGTCTCCTCTTCATTTCTAAGCAGGTTGTGTCTACCTAAACGCACCGTCATCAGGAAATACCTGAGTCCAACAAAGGAGACCAGAAAGCCATCCGGATTATTACTCTGTCAGAACAAAGTCAGACAACTGCACAGTTTGGCTTCACGCTAACGCAGCTATCATTTCTGTACTTTCCATCCGTACTATACATTTGTTGTGACAATACTTACGGTATCCAGCAGTGGGCAGCAGACACCACCCACTGAGGGTGGACCAAGGTTCCGCCACAGTAATGGCTGTTGACTATCTTGCTAAACACAGACACCTGGTATTTGAGGGAGTTTGGGCTGACAACTTGACCTCCAATGATCTTGGAATCATTCGTTGGCGCTGAGAATAGAAATCATGTCGTGATTCTCGATCTTATCGTTTCAAGCAATGAACAGTTCGTGGTCAGGTTTCACCGCCACAACTTTTTAAGTTAACATTCATAGGGTAAGGAATTGACTCGATTTAAATAAACACGGCACCAAAAATAAAAATAAAAATAAAAATAAAAAATACTCATGAAACATAAAATCACAACTTACCTGATGTAGCGAAGGTAAAAAGCAACAGTGAAGTACAAATTTGTAGCAAACCCATTCTGTCTCTTATCTCCTACAGGGGAGAAAATATTATTATTATAAGAGTGGATATTATGCAGTGTTTACTTTCACACACAAGGGTAAGAAAACGCTAACATCCTAACCTTCTACTGCACCTTACTGCCAATATCATATATCAGAGTTGAGAGCAACGTTCAACGTGGAATCACTCCGACTCTAATATTGACTGCATGTGAGCAAAGTGATTAAAAATTGCGTGTCTTACCTTTGTTTTTTCAGCTCCAACACACACACACACCTTCAGAGGATTTTGAACTGCTGATGACTGTGCCTCTCTTTTGCCTTTTATAGTGTAACAGTATCCCTGTCCAAATCTTTTGTTGAAATTATCTCTTCGTCTTGTTCTATGCTTTTACCATCTCCCACTGCAACAATGAAACTGACCTACAAGTTGACAAAGCAGAGGCCTTTACCTTTATTATGTTTGCTGCGAACGTTGGTCTCCTGCTTGCACCTTGGGATATGACGCTGTTCAGAATGGGATCACCTTTTTATTTGCTCGCTGTGACTAGGTCACCGACACAGCGAATGTTTACAGCCTGTTTCACGGCAATGACAGTGAAAAAAAAACACTATTGTCATTTTTATTGTACAATTATTTTGGTTATGGTTATATGAAACCTGTCATATTAATCTGTAATGGAATTCAAAAATGTGGTGCCCGGCCTTTCTATGGCACTCAAAGAGATAAAGTTCTGGGCACCGAGTACTCATACTATAAACCTTGCTCATGTACGTCAACAAACTTTATTATGTTGTGGAAAACTGACACTGAAATTCAATTCTTGAACGCACACACAGAGGGAGCCCAAGTACCACCGGTGGGATGCGCACCATATTTTGAAAATCGCTGCTAGACATAGATCCTATTAAACCATTTAACAATGATGATTTGGCATATTAACGATTTAATTAGTGATGTAAAGAAATATAAATATAACTTGTCCTGGTGTTATTGTAGAATTGGCATAAAAACGTACATCGCACCTCATCACATCAGTCAGTGAGGCTGAGGGGAAAACGGAGAGCGACGTTGGCATCGATAGGACCGCGCGGCTGTGATCCCACTCCAAACACTGTAACTGAAGATTATCTCTGGATCTGAACAACAATTCACCGTGCAGTGTAACATTTTGTTACAGTCGGTCGTCAATTAATTATTTCTTAAGTGGGCCGAGATTCTCTTGACGATAATTAAATACGACGTGGACGGACGAACGGACAGAGAGACATTCCTTTGTACTGCAACGTTACATAACTGTTTTACTGACATCTGTGTTCCACTAAATACGACACAGAAATACAGTAAAAGTCTCAGGAGTGAAGCTGCATAAAATACCAGAAAATCAAAAACCACTTCCTGCACCCTGTCCCTATTTCCCAGCCCAGTCCCCGGGGGGGGGGGGGCTTGGGGCTTGATGAATTCTGCCGAGAAACAGCAGGAAACAGAAAAGACTGTTCGCTGATATACACCTGACGTAGACAGTGCGAGAGGTGGCAACCATTTGTATTGTTGCCGGTGTTCGGACTAAAGAGTAGGTCGTGTGGAAAAAAAGCCTCTGGTCAGCTCTCAGGGGGGAGGACACAGGCCTGGACACAGATATCAGTGGCAGCGAGGGCAATAGATAGGGCTATTAGGCAGCAGAGGTCAGGAACTCCACCGAGGATTGCTGGCAGTGATGAGACCTGGCCAGGCTGTCCTCCATTTTTAATGATGCCCAGTTCTCCGGTACATGTGGGGCAGCCGTATCAGTTTGACCGTCTCTGACACCAAAGTCAAGGCTGTTTGTTTTAAAGGAACAAAAAGATTCTTGTCATCCATATGACAGCAGAATGGTGGAAGGCGGGGATTTCCAAAGTGTGGTATGTGCACCGCTTTCTGGTGCATGAGCTGCCACTAGGGGGTGCACAAGAGAAAGAATGAGATGGCACTTTGGAGTTTGTTTTTTTTAGTAGGATTTTTCCTACTGTGACATTTTAATTAAAATAAATGCAGGACATATATACATACATATATATGTATATATATTTCATGTTGTATGTGTGTTCATTTGAGAATGATTAAACACACTGCCTTTATAAGAAACTTGTGTTTTCTGGAACATTACTTATATATTATTTTTACACAATATTTCTTTAAATGTTAACCACGTTCATACAAGTCAACTTCTAATTTCTGTCTCTGTCTTAAAATATTTTAGCTGGTTTAGATATAACAGCGTCAGTGCATCACTTGAAAAACAGTTATAATTATTTTAAATTTAATTTGTATTCAATTTATTTAATTTCAAATCCTTTCTTCAATGGCTCTGAATACAAATAAACAACAGCCGTGTTGTACAGGAAGGGCATGGATGAACTGGCTGGAGACTGGTGGCATCACACCTCTCAGCCAATGAGAGCATTTGGGGTGGGGCTAAGACTGACCTAATGGTGATTGAACCAAATTCCAGTGGAATAACATTTTTTTTAATATTTGCCAAACACAAATTTTAATATAAAATCTCTTTAGCCCTCATTTGGACTCTACCATTTCAACCACCCGAGGTAGCTGCACTGCTAAGTACAAATAGCTAACAAACATAGCCTGTTTATTGTTGCTTATTTTCCAACCTTCTTTTTCCTTTTTTCCTGTGTTTTGTCTGCAGCTACAAGTCGATGTCTTTAACGTTCAACTTTATAATTTAAACTACTTATTTCTGAGGCTTGTACATTACAACATTACAAACTATGTTAGCTACGTTAGCAAGGTAAGCTAGGCTCTTTTTTCAAACCAAGCAAACATTTCAAAATTAATTCATTTTGAATTTCTGCTGCTGAAATTAATTCAGTGTACAGTGGGGGTTTCAAGATATGAGCTACCCGAAAACTACCGCACTTCCAACTTACGAGTAAGCCACTTTTGCAAGATTTTCCTTGAAATACGAGGAAACATCGACAGTTACAAGTGCTCAACTGAGCTCCATTTTCCCACTAGACACTGTTGCTCTCACTGTCCCTCGATGGGTTATTTTACCCAATTTTATAACAGTATTATTACATGTTTTCTTAATTATTATTTTATATGATCAATATATTTGTTTATATGTAGGTTTTGGATGTTTAGATCGGAGGAAATGAATAGTATATTTCTGCGGAGCTGGAACAAATTAAATGGTTTTTAGTTATTTTGTAAAGGGGAAAATTTGATCGAGACACGAGTGCTGTTGTTGAACGGATTAGACTCGTATTTTGTCCCACTACATTGGGCTAACGTTTACGTTTAATAAGATCGATCTCACTTGTATTCACAGGTACTGTTTGGTACATGTTTGTAACTACCACGACAGTAAAGCAGACAGTTAAAAAATATAATGGAAAATTGGTTTCTACTGGAGTTTTGGAATTCTCTCGAATTCCAACGAGATACAGATTTGAGCTGTGAAGAAGAGTTGGGTCTGAACCAGCAGGTCTAAAGACATCTTAGCCACTTCCTCCTGATTACAGAGCAATAAATAACACACTGGGCTATTTTACCAGATAGTATGAATCATTGTTTTCATTTCTGGGAAGCCCTATTTAAAAAAAAAAAAAAGATTCCAGTACCTTCTTTAATTACGAGCAGGTCGTCCATGTTGGATCAAATTAACCCAACATGGTGAAAAATAATAAATAAATAAAACTTTTAAATGACAACTGAAGGCGAACACACAAACTCCCCAAAATGTCCAACCTCGTCATGTAACTTCACCACTAGATGTTGCTAAATTCTACACGCTGTACCTTTGAATTCACTTCCTAAATTGGTCATATGTTACACATGTTCGAGGAACATCAGGAAACTCTACAAAAGTACTTCACGTGCCGGTTCCCAGCAACATCCCCCTGCCCCCTTCTCTCTTCTGCCCCCCAGAGTCCAGTGCTGTATAGCCTCCTGCTTTTTTATGACTCTGAACAATAAGGTGGGCGATGATACAGACAACAGACAAATATAGGAGAGCCTGATTGGGCTGTGTGAGAGGTGAGGCAGGGGGGCTGTGCCACCGTGGAAGCTTAAATTATATATTGTTCCTGACGAGCAGGTGACCATGGAAACTGAAATAAGAACTATAAAGAAACCCGAGAGTGCTGGTGCAATGCCTTCCCAATAAGATTAGACAACACACAGTTCGGCGCTGTGTGTAGACTGCGGCTCCCTTTGTGTCACCATGGATGTGGTATCTTTACTGATTTGTATACTGCTGGGAATCCTGACACTATACTGTGAGTATGCTGCTTTATTTCCAGCTGACGGTTCTGTGATTTCTTTTGGTTTAAACTCACAAGAATCAGTGATGACAGATTATTATTTTTTTAAATGTCTAACTTGTAATGTTTGGTCTGTCACTTTGAAAGAAAAAAAAAACAAGAAAGGAAAACTCCCAGAACATGATGAATCTGAGTTGGTTTTTTTTTTTTACAAGTACTCGCTGTGACCCGTAGACTGTTAGTATTTCCTTTTAGAACCTCACGTCTAGTAGAGCTACTCTAGGATTTCCCTAGAGACTGTGTTTTACTAGGATCCATTTTTAAGCAGATACACGACAGGGAAGATTTGTTTTAAATTGTTAATCAGTGTCAGAGTGATGTAAACGTTAAGAGAAAAAAAAAAAGTTTGACCTGAGATTGAATCAAATCATGGAGATCTGGATAAATAAGTGGTTTCTGGGATTTTATTATGTTGTGATAATCAGATTTTTAAAAAAATGATTTGGTGAAACTTGGGTAAAATATGTTGTTGTTGTTGTTGTCGTTGTCGTCCAGCACTTCAAAGATTTCACAGCTACATGTCCTTTGAATGGACAGGGTTAGTAAGTGTGTAGATTCACAGAAAAAACCTGAAACCTCAGATGAACAACAGATGAAGGCTCACATCCAAAACAACAATAAGTAGTTGTGGTCCACACCCCTTGTTGTACCTGTCAATTATATCACAAAGGTAACATGTAAAAGGAGACCCCCCGCCGTGAATAGGTCTACAATGTACGACTGATTAGAAGCGCCTGGCTTCCCAATCAACATGGCGGACGCTTGAACTCCACTCTCCTGTAGCCTCTTTTGGCAAGAGGTGCAACTGTTTTTTGTTTGTTTTTTCTTCGGAAAATTTTGTGTAACGGCACACGGGCGAACAGCTGATATTCTGCACTAGTGGTTTGACAGTGTTTACTTGACGGAGTGCCTATTGGATTTCTGCATGTGTGTTTCCAAAAGTGTCTAAAATTACTGTAATATTTCCATTCGTGACACGCGAAAATGCTGCGGCTGAGCACAGCTCGAGATCAATATCTAGGACAGGCAGAAGGTTTTGTTTCATTCCTGACGACATTTCAGCGGCTCAGTTACTCTGATGTATGCTCGCTGACATTAAGCAGGTGTTTGAAATTAGGCCACGACTCCAACATCAGTATGGTCTTAAAAACTATTTTTTTTCTCCACTCCTTCTTTTCACATTGTTCAGCACTTTCTGTCCCAGCAGAGCAGACGTTTACTTGGAGGTCAGTTGTCTGCCTCCAGGTTAAACATGCGTTTTAAAAGTAATAGCTTTTTTACTGTATGTTCAAATGGTGTTTTTAGCGTAGTCACCATGAGCTACAAATAAACTCTACACTGATGTCTGGTTTACACAACATGGATAGGAGCTGAAAAAGCAAGAAGTCCCTGGAAGCAGTTTCCATGTTTTCCCCTTTAATGGACGACTTTACCTTTAAATACTTTTGCCCCAAAACAAGTACGATTAGGTTGACTGTTCACTCCGAATCACATATGTCAAATTCAAGGCCTGCGGGCCGAATCCAGCACACCATAAAATTTTATGTGGCCCATCAGCGCTTATTTTGGTCTGGTTGTCTTTACTGGATAGGTTAAATGTCGTGGTTAAATTTGGTGTGTGGTGTGTGGTAAACTACATCTCCCATGATGCACATTAATTTAATTCTGTGAATCATTAAACTTGCAAGAATACTTGGCCCAAACTTAGTGGGCCGGTTTTGGCCCGCGGGCCATATGTTTGAGACACCGCTGGGTTAAACTGTAGAGGATGAATGAATGCACAGATATGACGTCTGTGTAGGTCCTCAGAGACACAGTCAGACGTCCTACATCTGACCTGAACAACATGTTGATCAGATCATAATCACCTGCAGCCAGGCTTTGAGTTAAAGATTTAAATTTACTGACAAAGGACGTTTAAATACTGGGCTCCATTTCAGTTGGTCAGCTCTGGTGGCCTAGGTCAACTAGTAGATGTTCACAGTGGTAAAGTGTTACTGGTGTTACCAATGATGATGTCACTGGATTTGTCAGCTTTCATCAGCTCTGCTTGCTCTCTTTTATTATTAACGTCTGAACCTGCCATCTTGACCCATGGATAAATCCTCCAAGGATCCAAATAAATAAATAAATAAATAAATAAATAAATAAATAAATAAATAAATAAATAAATAAATAAATAAATAAATAAATAAATAAATAAATAAATAAATAAATACTGTATATAGAGTATATATATATTTAAATTGTTTATTTGTTTATATTTTGTTTTTTTTACATCTTGACCCATGGATAAATCCTCCAAGGATCCAAATAAATCAATAAATAAATAAATAAATAAATAAATACTGTATATAGAGTATATATATATTTAAATTGTTTATTTGTTTATATTTTGTTTTTTTTTAGCATAAGCAGGTTAGCAGGTTTTAAATTTATTTGGGCAGCTCTGTGCCAGAGTAAAACTGATGTGAAAGACGTCAACGTCTTCTCACGAGATCTAAGTGGTTGCTGTGGTCAGACTTTACATCTGGACACTATACTATAAAGTTTGGCTTGAGGCTCATTCTACAGCGGCAAAAATATTTTTTATTATTGTTTGTTTTGAAATATTGTTGATATGCTGCTGAGTGCAGATATGAATTTAAAACGGTTTCACCTTTTGTCCAAAAACGCTGATCTTTCTGGTTTTTACACGTCTGTCCCTGCAGGTCCAGATGTTCACGCACAAGAACGAATCGTGGGAGGCTATGCACCAGTTCCACATTCCATCAAATACATTGTGTCCATACAGACCAGAGACCGCCAGCACAAATGTGGGGGCGCTCTAATAAACAAGTACTGGGTCATCACAGCAGCACACTGTAACATCGGGTATGTTTCTCTTCGACCACGCTGTGTCACGAGTCTCTGCCCGAATTTCTTATTTTTTTGAATTATCCATACATTTACACTGGAAATTAGAAGATTATGTCAATCAGTATTCATATTTATGGGTGTGTCAGTTTGAATAGTATTGTGTGTACATAGATGTATGCATACGCATACTATGTACCCTTTCCTATAAAGATGTTATTTTATTTTAACAGTATTATTATTATTATTATTTGTACAGAAGCATCTCTAGCATGACATCTGATTCACATCGTGTTTTCATTTGTCAGACTTTTTTTATTGTTTGGCTTAAAGATGACTCACAGGCCCGTTGGTTAGGGAGGCACCAGAAAACCTTAATGTTATATACAGCTCCTGTTTGGTCATTGTTATAAAGACAGAGTGTGCCAGTAAGGAAACAGCCGTGTTTTTTCTTATTGTTATGGTTACTGAATGGCAACGTTTGTAGTCATTTCCTCCGCCTCATTTTTTATGTTTTAATTAAATGAACACAAATGAAAATTATCAGTGAGTCAGATGTCAGCTGTTTTGATGAGAATGAAATAAACCTAGATTTGCTTCTATGGTGAGAACTGTAGCTAGCTTGTTGCGTTAGCTGGCTGCCAGCTGTAGCTACCCCCCAAAATGTCCTCAAAATGTCTTAAGCTGCCCTGAAATTCTAATGAGAATTTAAATATATTTTCAAACAAAGGAAAACAACTCAAACAAGACCTCAAAGCATAGAGGTTAGTACTTGTTAGCACAGCACTGTACAAAATATCATTTTAAAAACTCGAGTTTCCTGCTAACGTGACCACAGTTGTGCCTTTTCACTTAATTCAGTTTTCATTCTGATGTTTAAATTTAAGTCCAGACCAGATCATAGACTTTGTTTGGAACCTTTCAGTCACGTTGGCTGACATTTCTCAAGTTTCTGAAATGTTCCAATTTTTTTTTCTGCCCAAGAAATTCTCATTCTCCAAAAACATACATACATATGAAATCACCACCAGTCTCCACCAGATTAGAGGGTTGCCAGTTTTGAATCCTGTATTGGGTTCGACCATGGTGTGTTGACCAAGCACCAAAACTCTCCTGCTCCCTGTGTTGCCAAAAATGACAAAAACAAATCACCTGCTGCTTCTATCATTTCACAGAATTAGCCTTGAATCTTGCCCTTAAAAAACTGATTTCTTGAGGACTAGCAAAAAGCCTTGTTCAAAATGATAGAACTTTATGGTGGCTACTATCTCTGTAAGTCCTTACCTGAACATGGCTGCAAATTTACCTTGGATTTTTGATTTTTTTTAGGGTGAATCGCATGTTGATAGTAGCAGGAGACTACTCTCTTTCGATCTATGAGGGCAAGGAGCAAGAAATCCTCCCCCATTATCTGGTTCCCCACCCAGGGTTCGACAAGGACACCAACAACAATGACCTCATGCTTATCAAAGTACTTTATCCAAAAAGTTTCCCACATAACCAATATATATAAAGGCCTGGATATTCCTTATCATGTTCCTCAAAACACCGTTGCTTTTTTTCTTTTTCAGCTGAGGTCACCGATCTACATGAACAGCTACGTTTCCATCGCCCTGCTACCCAGACAAGATGCTTCCATTGATGAGGGACAGATGTGCCGAGTGTCAGGCTGGGGATTAACCAGCGCCTACGACTCCCAGATTCCCTCAACGCTCCTCACGGTCAAAGTCCCTATCGTATCGACACAGTTGTGTAACAGCAGCGATTCATATAACGGGAATATAACACACTCTATGATCTGTGCCGGCTTCCGCGACGGAGGAAAGGATTCTTGTAAGGTAAGATCAAGCTTTTTATATGATTTAGCTGCTTTTAGCTGTTGATTTACAATCAGGTGGATTTCTACTGCACACTGAAGGGCTGTCAAAGGCCTGTTAAGATGATCGATTTTACAGTGGAACCTCGGTTGTCGAACGCCTCCCTTTTCGAACATTTCAGTTCATGAACACATGTTTAACCAAAAATTGCCCGGTTGTCGTACCAAAACTCACGGTTGTCCAACACACCAACAATATCAGACGCTGGAATTATTGCCCTGTGGTAGCCTATTTCCTTTTTTTTATTCAATAACTGACTAACGGAATCATTTATTTTACATTGATTCCTACGAGGAAAATTGTTTCAGTTTTTGAACATTTCGGTTCACGAACGGCCCTCGCGAACAAATTAAGTTTGAAAACCGAGGTTCCCCTGTATTTTAGTTTGACCGTGCTGGTTTCATACCTTTCTTTTTAAAATGATATATTTATATGTATTTTTTTATTCCTTGTTCTTGTCTTAGGGAGACTCTGGGGGTCCACTTGTGTGCGAAGGCCGCATCTATGGCTTAGTGTCTTGGGGAAAAGGCTGCGCTGCACCTAGCTTTCCAGGGGTTTACACGGCGGTGTCCAAGTTCCGCAGGTGGATAGACAACACCGTATTCAGCTACTTCAGCAGGTGTGATCACAAATGACACCCGCGTCACCGTGACGTGAAGACAGAACACAGACCTTGAATATATATGTACTGTATCTTTTCTCTATCACTTGTGCACATTCGATTATACAGTGCGTATACTGTATGTGCTGAAGGAATTGTTAACACATTTTGGGAAACGCTCCCACTGTCTGAGTGAACGCCAACAGACATGCAGTGTGGGACCAGATTTATTTACTGTACGGACTCCTCCTCCTCATTTTGTGCATGCTGCCTGTGGCAGAAGTTGAGACGTCTCAACCACAGCACATACCTGTTCATATTACTGACCTGGATAGTATCCGGATAGTATCCGGATAGATATATACGTTTCATGGAAATAAACCCGCATAGTGTATAAGCTTGACCCCATCGCCCAATCCAATGGATGTTTTAACATGTAAAACAATATTATATACCTGTTCCATATAAACTGCCCCCCTTTAGTTAATATATATTCATAAACATATAGAAATACATATGTATATACATATAAACACAAATTATATATCTAAATATATACACACACGTATACATATATACACATATACATACTGTATATATACGTATATATATATCATATATATGTGAGCTCTGCAACACTATTGGAATTGAACCTGTATTTTGGTATTTTCACATCAGCAGTTTGGTAAAAGTGGCTTCATTTCCATGAAATACAATGTTCCAAACCAGACTCTCCGGTGATCATCGTTAGACTGAAACCGCCCGACTAGTTTAATCAAATACTCTTACAGGTTTTGCTTATACCACTTGTTGAAGCCAGGGGGCAGACATACAAACTATAAGCGGCCTAAGTGACATGGGGCAAACCCTTATTCACTGTATAAACAAACAAAAAAAATTTTTAGTAACATAAATACACCTTTGTGTATTTGATCAATGTGCTCGAAGTGTTATTTTTTTACATGCTAACAGGGTTCTACGTGTGGCTATTCTATATTAAAATTCTTATCAAAAATACACTTAAATACAATAAGGAACAGAAGGGACACTTATATGTAACCATTGTTTAATTTTTTAACACTATACTATGATTCTGTGTTAAACATTATTTTTTAAAAAGGGAATGGAATGTATGCCTTAAAAAAATACTTTTTAACATAAAAAGACCCAGAGTAAAAGTAAACAACAGCACCCCCTGGTATTTGAAGCTGAGCTACATGTTGCCTTTAAGTTGGATTTGTTTTGAATCACTACTGCATTTTTTTCTAAAGGTAAAAGAAAACTGTTCTAGTCATTTATTTTTTAGCCGTGTCAAGTTAGCCAACGCTAGCTAAACTATAGTAAGTCTACAGTTTTCGGTAATACCATTTCTCAGGTTAATGGATCCATAGGTATCGGTGTAATGTGTCAGACTCAGCTCAGCAACTTAGTTAAGAAGTTCATCAGGCCTCTATAAGTGTCCTTAACATTAGTATAAGCTAAATGGTGTATAAATAACACCATAGCCCTTGACAGCTCAAATGCTAAAAGCTAACACAAACCTCACAAGAGACCCAGATCTACAGCACTTTAATAAAATGGCTGGAAGTTCAATTTTCCTTGTCTATGGTTTTAGAAATGTGAGAAGTATACACACACACACACACACACACAAATATATATGTTTAGTTTCTTTTTTCTGCTGTAAAAAGTAAAAGTAGGACTGAAGTCGTTTACTTCGGTCTTAGCATAGGCTTAATGAAAACTATATAAAGTCGAAAAGGACTAATTAGTACATTTATAACTATTTTGGCACTTACTATAATGAATCTCCCAGGTGTGTCGTAGCATGCCATAAACTAAGCTATAGCCAGCTAAAGTTAGCCTTAGCGCAAAGAATTAGCCGATAAAGTCGAATTACTTTACACATTATTGTGTCCATTAGATTCAATAAAATATAACTGAAATCACAAACAAACAAAATTCATGTTCTTAATGGGTTTTTTTCTCTCTTTTTTTTTGATCATTTGTTGTAATTGACAAACTGACGTGACACAAACAGCAACAAAGTGATTAAGGACATTTCCCAACATGCCACACAATTCCTTTAGGTTTCAGTATTTTTCATGTTTGTTTTTGATTGATATTAAAGAATCCAAAAACATACAAAACAACATATAATGGGTAAAAGTCCTATTGGACGATGAGCAACATCCTCACCAGATCAGCACACGGAAAAGAATGAGGTGCCATATTTCTGCATCAACGTATTCACAACCAGTTTTCAATATAGAAATGAACCCGGTTCAGTGTAGCACTCTGTAGTACTACAGCAGCAAATATCACGAAATACTCTGTCATCAGCTAATCTAACCCCAGGAAACGCCTTTGTAAAGTTGGATTGTTGGAGTGCAATTGTTTTGAAAAACAGAACAAAAAACCCAAAACATATTCATCACCATAAAAGAAGTTAATGTCTTTGCATATAAAATAATAAAGATTTTGTGATTTATTTTCTCACATTTTTCCGACTTTGTTTTTTGAAGTTACAGTGTCTTTACATTCATGTGAACTAAGACGAATGACATGTAAAAGTCGTGTATAAAGGCTAAAATGCTAAAATGCTAAAATGCTTTTAGCCTTCTCTACACCATCTATAGGGAAAACGTGGGCATTGCAGGGAAAACGCAGAAGTATAATCACAATACAAACCAATTATATCATTTGGACAAGTTTGTCGGGCATGGATTACAAAGCTGAACGGGCCACATATGGCCCCCGGGCCTTAGTTTGCCCATGCCTGGGCTAGTCATTTGTCAGAGAAGAAGAAAAGCAGAAAAGCGAGGGTTAGGGAGGGTTGATAAATCCAAATTAATTTTGGAAACGTTTCAGCAATCACATCTGGAGAGGAGAGAACGCCTTTGTTTGTTCGTCACCTCCCTCGGTGAATCAGCTGACGAACTCTCCTAAAGCTGGAATACCCTCCTGAAAAATGCATGGTGCCAGGTTTCCTTCCTGGCAACCGGGTTCTGAGGCGTGACCACTCTCCAACCACAGCCTCACGACGTCGCTGCCTCAGCTTGCAGAGATTCCTGTAAAGGCGAACAGGAGCCCGGTTGGCTGAAATCAGTACCAGCCGCATCCCACCTGATAGGTGGAGACCGATCACAACATGAAAGACTAGTTGAAAGAATAGTTGATGGCCTACATAAAGCCGACTCCGGTTTCAGTGCCTGGCCCTGTTCGTCTGTGCCGATGGGTGTGTCCTGGCCCCATGTGATTGATGGGTTTCATGGTCTTAGTTACATAAAGGTCGGTTCCTTTTTGTTCCACCGTGAAAAGACGTCTCCCGGGAACGACAGAGAACACCGCCGAACATGGTGGATGCCAAAATCCCTCTGTACACCTGCCTGTGTTTGTGTGCTGGTTCAATGTACAAGTATATATATCAAGACAAAAACAAAAACAAAACACCTGATTATCCCTTCCGTAAAAAAATTCCCAGAGTTCTTCTCCAAGCAAAATATTCTCTAACCTAAAAAAACAGACATCAACATTTATTATTATTATATATTTTATATGTTTAATTAAGGTTAAGGAAGTAGACTTGGGTCCGGAAGGTTCAAGTCCACCAGCTGCCACGTTACCACTGAGGTGCTCTGAGTAAGGCACCGTCCCCACACGCTGCTCCCTGGGCGCTAAAGGTAAGGTCAAATATAGAGGTCACATTTCGTGGTGTACTGTGTCACAATGACAAATAAATCAAGAAGAAGAAAAAAGAGTTTTCCTTCAACTGTACTTTAATTTAATTTAAAAAAAAGTTAAATTCAATCTGATGATGGGGTGAAATGCAATGATTGGTCAACAAAAGAAACAAAAGATTTCCTACACGTCCTAATTTAGCCATGTCACTTTTTAGAAAGATCAGTACTGGTGCAGACAACAGACCAGAGTCCACAGATGTGGGACTGAATGTGGCCGGTTGTTTGATTTCTCTCAGGTCCTGAGCTGTCCCGTCCCGCTCTTTTGTCCTCTCACCCGTCAGTGCCCTGATAACTGGTGCAGCCTTTGAAGAGTTGCCCTGCATTCACTTCACTCCTTCTGTTACCAGTTTACTTATAGGAAAGAAATAAAAACAAAGGACAAGGAACGGCCGCTTTGAAATAAATGAATAAATGAAAGAAAAAAAAAATCATATTACTCTGAAGTACTGCGTTTGAGGATGTTCTGGCGACGTCTTGCAGAGAGAACACAGGTTTTTAACAGCACAGATAGCTTCTCAAACAGGCTTTATTCAATTGAACCACCAGGGGGCGTTTGATCACTAAATAGGACAACGGCAGATTCGATATGAGCCTGCTGGCTCGTCCTCTGCTCCCTTGATTATAATAAGAGCCTCTGTGTCTCTGCATGAAGCAGTTACATCAAATTGGGACAAATATCATTAAGAACGTACAGAAATTAAACTGTGTGTTCTTCAGGCTGCTGCTGCTGCTGCTGCTGCTGCTGCTGCCGCCGCTTGCGCCGCTGGTGTCCTCCGACACCGGAGGGGGG